GATAGTGCGTGGGAGTGTTTGGGTAGTCCAGGTTGACATTGGCTTCTTGCAGATATGCCCTCATCCTGCTCCCGTTTTGGTTGTTCTGGGCCTGGTTCCCCCAGTCCTTATGTCTCGCATTGAAATCTCCTCCGATGATCACCTTATTGCCAGCACTAACCAGCGCCTCTAGGTCTTGTTGTGTGAATCTATTTCTGGGCCTGTTGTACGCTGTAAATATAACCTCCCCACTCCGTAGTCTCACTCCGGCATGTTCGATTGAACTTTGTCTTGGCGGGACCACGGTGTGGGGAATATTATTCTTAATTAGAATGGCTACCCCCCCCCATCTTTCTGCATTAGGCCGATCAACCCTGATCGTGGTAAAGCCTCTTACTTTGAGGTTCTGGTCATGACGGAGCTTGGTCTCGGACAAAAGTATAATGTCCAACCTGTGGCGATATATAAAATTAACGAGCGACGGCATTTTGCTATTAATGCCGTTGATGTTAATAATACATACCTTAAGGCCGATTTCTACCATTAATATTATAGTTGCCGATAGTTTTGGAGAACCTGGTAACTATTTGCACAATCTCCCAGGGATTTGTTTCACCACCGATAGCGGCGTTCATATCCCTCACGCACCTAAAGACCTCTGAGAGATTGACCTTCTGCTCTAGGAGGTCGACCTCTGAGGCTATGCCCGTTATTACCTCGATTCCTTGGCCTGCACCGGGTCCTCTCTGCGCACTCGGGGGACGTCTGGAGTTCATATCAGGTCTCCTCTCTTGGGCATCTCGATGTTCTTCGACATTTCTTTGCTCGGGCTGCCTGGCCTCTCGTTCTTGTCTTCTTCTGTCCCACACGTTCGTGCTGGGGGGCGGGGCTGGGGCATAAGCCTGTCTATCTGGCCGTTTGTTTTTGTTTTTGTTGATTATGTCTAATCTTCTTATATAGCTTATGCACGAACTGTAGTTGGCCGGATGGGCTTCCCCACAGTTCGCACATTTTGCCGGTTCTTGATTGGGCAGTTTGCAGTCAGCCGTGGAGTGGCCACCTGCGCATTTTAAGCATTTGAATTCTCTATTACAATTGCTGGTGGCATGACCCCATAGCTGACAGCGCTTGCACTGAGTAACTGCCCGATTGTTCCTCCTCAGCTCCCAAGTGATTCTAACAGACAATAATGCCTTCACTTTATCACTAAGAAACCGGAGAGTAACAATCGGGTCAACCACGACCAGATAGAGAGGCCTATACCTTGTGTTGAGCCTGTAGACCTCCTTGACCATGATGTTGTAATCATCTTTCATTTCTTGCATGATCTCAGAGGGCTCAGGCTCAAAGTCCAAGCCCCTCAGCACGAATGCGTGGGTTTTGTCCTTCTTAAGGGAGTAAGAGTAAAAGGATACTTCGTCTTCTTTCAACTTCTGTTTCACGTTCTCAAAGTCCTGCACTGTCTCCGTGTATAGAAGGGTGGAATCCCCTCCATACTTGAAGTAGAAGGGTTTCGTGGTGAGTGATTTAATGAGTGGTATGATTTCCCTTCTATCCTTCAGGACTCCATCGAAAACTATTGGCGGTGGCTTCTCTCCTTTTTTGGGTGTTGTTTGTTTGTTCTGTGATGTTCCTTGATTCTTGTTTTTATTTGCTTGTGTTATGTTGGTGTTTTTGTTGACTTTTTGTGTTGGTTTCGGAGTTCTACTTGTGGAGAGTTCTTCATCTGTGGACTGATCTGTTGGCAGTGGGATGTCTTGGGGTAGCGACTGGCTTGCGTTTTCCTCTTCAGTGCTACGCAATACCTCGAATCTGTTGTTCTACTACTAGACTATCAGAGCAACGCCTTGACCACTAGGCCAGTAATCGAATTGAATAATGTTATACATATCAAGTTCTCGTGAGAGCATTGTTCGAAATCGGATCATAAACACTTTTTGTTTCAAAATCCCCTTACATCTAACTGATGTTCGATACTCATATGTCTGAAATAATAAATGGTTTTTATGTGTTGAGAAACAAACGAATATTCATGGAATATTTCATGAATATTCACCACCAAATATTCAGTTGAGAATATTTCATGAATATACCGCACAGAATATTCAGTTGGGTATATTTCATGAATATACCGCACAGAATATTCAGTTGGGTATATTTCATGAATATACAACAGAGAATATTCAGTTGGGAATATTCCTGGAAGTTTCATACCTGAATATTCCCTGAACATGTCCGACTATTCACTTTGGAATATTCCTTTTAGACGTTCCAGTGGCATGTATATATTCTATGAATGATCGATGAATATTCGGAATATACTCCTCCTTTTCAGCATATTCAGAGAATATTCTATGAATATCCAGTGCTGTCTGGGTCGCTCACAATTTCACTCACTTCTCCGGAGCACCGTAGAAAAGTTGGCGATTTGGCTTCATTTTATAGATATTTTCATGGACGATGCTCTTCTGAAATATCAACCATTGTTTCCCCCTTGGCAGTCCCCGCGAGATTAACCCGTCATGTTGAGGCTTCGCACCGTTACCACCGATAAAACAAGGCCAGCAGACTCTGACGTAAACAGCTCGTGACGTCACCAAGAGAGGCCAGTGTTTTATTTTATCGCTTGTCGACTAACGCGTCAGTTCGTGTTAATTCATCGGTGATTCACGTATGTTTTTGAAACGGTCCCGAATTCTTTTGTTGTTTATTCATCAAAATAATTGGCGGAAAAATTACTGTTTTGTGGAATATTTTGTGTTGTGATCGGCGAAATAACAATGCCTTTCAAGTGTTGTGTTCCCTTTTGTCGGGGGAATTATGTGGGTGGTTCAAAAGTTCATGCTTTTAGTTTCCCGTTGGACGAGGAGCTATCGAAAATGTGGGTATATGCAATTCACCGCGAAGATTTCACTCCATCTAAGTTCAGTAGTAAACAGAGCTTAATTTATAATGATAAATTAATAATAGAAGACAATTACTCTCTCATGAAAAGTATAAGTAGAGGAAAAATAGAAAAGCTTTGATTGTGCAGTTAGTTTTGTATTCGTATATTATAGTCAACAAAATCATCTCTGAATTCGAGGAAATTTTCTTGAATGTTCATAATAAACGGGCATTTTCAATTCTCATTCTCAAATTTCTTTCTGAAAACGGTCATTTGCCTCGTGGCAATGAATGCAGAATTCATTCCAATGATCAAAGTGCAACTATCATATTAACAATTTTCTTTCGATCAATCTCACGATAAGTTTATGTTCTGCGGGCCCTGTATAAGTAGGTGTGAAGTTTACCTTCATCACAATTTTTGCCAATATATTTAATTCGAATGGGTTGCTGTAGGTGGATATTTGTGTTTTATTCTGGTTTTTGCTTTAAAACTTCGTTTTTTCATAATAAAATCGAATGGGGTGCGAAGAAGGCTCAGTTGACGACTGGCATCCTTTTTTAACCGGAAGCCCATCAAAAAACAGCAAAATCGGCTCAATGATGATCTAAAACTAAAATCGAAATACGCGGTCGCCTTATAGCGCTATAAGCGCTTGTCGTTTCGAGCCGCTGGTTAGGCCTCACTAAGTGACGTCACCCACGGAGCATGCAGGCCTTGTTGTATCGGTGGTAACGTTCGCACCCCTTCGTGGTCACTTTGGAGACCTGCAGAACATCTTTTTCTAAAGACTCGTTTACCCAACGAACAGCGAGGCTCTGGAACATATTGCCAAGGGAAGTGTTCCCCTAGGCATATTACCTCCAGAAATTTAAGAGGAACACCAATTCCTACCTCATTTTCCATGTTTCTCACGATATTCTCTGAACATTACAGGGAACCAGAACATAAAAGAAAACCTCAATCACAGAGATAAGGTTTTCTCAATTCAGAATTTCCGTCTACGTCCTGTATGATGAATATCATTTTATCATACATCCAAAAACAGGTATACATCCTTCGAAGGATGTTACCGAATAATAATGGAATAATGTTAGAAAACAGCAGGGATGACCTACGCTCTTTAACAGGCCTTATTACAAGCCTCAATACAGACTGTCGTCTGCGTTATCACATGTCAAGACGTGGGATGTCGGATGATACGACATTCCTTGTTTGTCTAGAAGATTTCATCATCAGCCGCGGTTTGAATCAGGGTTTAACTCCCGCCCTCGGACCTCGAAGATCACTCACCAAGTAAACTAATCAGTTTCATTGGTAGTGAGTACATCACTAGCCAACAAATCACAGCCAAAATATTGGTGTTCACCTTGAATTTCTGGAGGTTACATGCTTTGAAGAACACCTCCCTTGGCAATGTGTTCCAAAGCCACGCTGTTCGTTGTATAAACGAGTCTTTTAAAGAGATGTTCCGCAGGTCTTCAAAGTGACCACGAAGGGGTGCGAAGCCTCAACTCGACGGGTTAATCTCGCGGGGACTGCCAGGGGAGGAACAATAGTTGATATTTCAGAAGAGCATCGTCCATGAAAATATCTATAAAATAGAGCCAGATCGCCAACTTTTCTACGGACGAATGGCCCTTTTTTGGACAGAATCCAACAGTTTCAGGGTATATTTGGGTACTGCACTCCAAATATTAAAACAGTATTCCTGAACAGGTCGGATCTGTGCCTTATAGATCATAAGCTGTTGACTGGGAGTGAAATAGTTCCTGGCCCGAAACAAAAAAACAAGTTTTTGTGATGCACTTTTAGCAATTGATCTTGATTGTAATAAGTTCCCATTATGCACTAGTTACTGACGTGCAAACGTCCTCCACCCCATAGTACCAGTACATAACCTAGCATTTTCAGGAAAAGATTAAAACTGTTTCGATCATATCAATGATGCAAAAGTTCATTGAAATTGTTTTTGATCACTCAACTATGAAATTGTTGCAGACTACAAACTGTTTGTTGAATCATCAACTAGTCTAAAACCTCGTCTAAAACAATATATTCAGATTGTAAACCACTAAAAAGTGGCCATATTGAACAAGAATCAGGAAAATTACTATTCAATGAAATTTTGCAGGCGGAGTTCTAGTAGGACCAAACAAGTATTTCCTACATCCCAGCTACAAGGAATTTGGATTGGATATTTATAATTGGGAGGCTAGATCCGATGATGTATATTTATTAGGATACCACAGATCAGGTATGCTCCTTAGAAACACATATAATGGATCACTCATAAGTTGATGCTTCCAACATAGCTTTATGGAAATTTCAGATAACGAACACACTACAACCAAAAATTAACAAGTGCTAAAACATATAGAAGGTTTGAATTGGAACGAATACAGTAAAATGAAGTAATATCAAAATCAATACCATATATAATAATTAGGATCACGGTTGAAGTCGACCCAAGAATCGATATTACTTTATAAGAAGATTGAGAAATTCTTGAATTATAAATTTTCTCACATGGTATTCCGAAATTTTGGGAGTTTGCATTTTGGGCACCAAGGCAATAAATGGACTAATTCAACATGCATTTTGGGCACCGAGCCAAAATGTCCTCATTACAAAAATTGCATTTTGGTCACCGAGCCTTATTATTCATTCATTATTTTTATAATTTTGGGTAGGTTGATAGGTGAATAATACAAAAATATTTTGAAGCATACGAAAATATGTTCATTATTGTATTATGATTACATTAATTGTAAAAAATATCTTAATCTAAATATCTCATAATTGGGATTCCGTACATCGTAAGAAATACAGGGTCGGTAAAGTCATAGAGAAGTTGCGCAATTTTATGCCGTTCCAGTACAAAAAATTTTCAAATATTTTATGAGATATACGAAAAAAATTATCTAAAACCTTTTTCGTCTTTTTTGAAGTTATTTGGAGGAATTCATCGAAAGTTTGACACTTCATCATGCATGGTCACTTTTTCTTCCCTACAAATTGGCGCTTCCAGACTCGAAATCCGACGTTTTATCTTCCAGAAACCATTATCAACTATTTTCATCTACTGACTGAATCGAAAGTAGGCGTTCGACGAAACAAAGTTGTCAATTTACTCTCACGGGGGGGAAAAATATTACTCCCGTGGTAGGTAAATTAAGTTAGCTTCGGCATGCAACCTTTGGTATCGATATACTCATAGAATCTGTGCAAGAACAAATAACAATAATATTATTATCTTCTGTAGGTTAATCGAGGAAGGTGGTACATTCATTATTCTGGATTACATGGAATTTTCTCTCCTCGTCTCTATGAAATAAAATATCGATATTATTTCAATATACGTGTAGTTGGGACAAATCAGATTATCTGTCCCAAAATGTCACTACGTTCGAAAAATGTTCCTATCAGAGAGCTCGAAAAAAAAATGCACTAGCTTGTCAGTGACAAATTGTATTGAAAAAGGTTTGGAGAAGAGAAATAAAGGTATAATATGGAAAAAATATCGAATTAATACTTATCTTTGTGCAAATGCGTATCTGTCCTCACACTTTTCAGTTCTCAGTGACAATTGGTGACCTTGGCAATCAACTGAGTTACATGGTATTCAATATTGACATTCTAAAATGAAAATGGTAAATTCAAGATCAAATAATGAAAACATCCCGTAACTCATTTGATTGTCAACGTCACCAATTGTCATTGAAAACTGAGTGACAAGAAATATACAAATTCGCAATACAAAAATCCATTTTTTTTGTAATGGAAACAGGAGCAGATTCGTTCCCGAAACGTTCAAAGATAAGTAAAAAGTCTATATATTCCATATACCTTCATTTCTCTTCTCCAAACCTTTTTCAATACGAATTGTCACTGACAAGCTGGTGAATTTTTCTTTTAGGCTCTGTGATAGGAACATTCTTAAAACGCAGTGACATTTTGGGGCAAATCATCTGATGATTTGTCGTTACTACACGTTTATTGAAATAATATTGATATTATATTTTATAGAGACCAGGAGAGGAAATCCCAAATAATCTGGAATAATGAACAAAAATATCCTTTTGAACTCCAATGATATCACACGCTTCTTCGTATTCCGAACGTACTTCTGATCAAAACGTTCGAATGCAGATACACAATACAAAAATCAAATTATTATGCATAATGACAGAAGTGTCAAATTGATTTTCGTTCAAATGCCGTCAATTGTCCATGGCAATCTTCACCTTAGTGATGAAGCACAATTTCGAGAATGATGTTTTAAAAATATGCGTTCTTTGATGAAATCATATACAGAGTGGGCCTTTGAAAACGAAACAGAGGCTCTGTAGGTCGCCAAAACCGGATTATCAAAAAAAACTGAAACAAGTCAACTACATTTCCGAGGGGGACATCTTTCTAAAATATTTTCAGCCCTGCGGCGTTGCCGCTTCTAAAGAAAAGAAGCAACAACTTTGTTATTTCAAATGGAACATCTTGTATTTTATTGCATTTTTAGATTCTCCCCGAAGAGCTGATTTCATCAATGCATCACACTTAGGGTCTAGCTGTAATGGTTTCAGGGACATAAAGTGTTCAAAATCGAGATTTTTCAACTTTAACATTTTTTTGTGTCGAAACTATTCATTATTGGTCAAAACGGCTCTCATGTCCCGATCTCAATTTGTGATTTACTATCTACTGAAATTAATTTGAAACAAATACAGGGTGGTTCAAGATTCAGAATTCTGATCACCCTGTATCTGTTCCAATTAAATGTCAGTAGATAGTAAATCACAAGTTGAGATAGGGACATGAGAGCCGTTTCGACCAATAATGAATAGTTTCGACACAAAAAAATGTCAAAGTTGAAAAATCTCGATTTTGAATACTTTATATCCCTGAAACCATTACAGCTAGACCCCAAGTGTGATGCATTGATGAAATCAGCTCTTCATGGAGAATCTAAAAATGCAATGAAATACAAGGTGTTCCATTTGAAATAACAAAGTTGTTGCTTCTTTTCGTTAGCAGCGGCAACGCCGCAGGGCTGAAAATATTGTAGGACGATGTCCCCCTCGAAAACGTAGTTGACGTGTTTCAGATTCTTTTCATAATCCGGTTTTGGCGACCTACAGAGCCTCTGTTTCGTTTTCAAAGGCCCACTCTGTATACAAGGATTTTTTGAAATAAGTGCACATATTAAGCACATTAATGTGATACAGTCTAAGGAATATTCCCATGATATCAGATTTCTTCTAATTATTCTAATCAACAAGAAATTCCATTCCAAAACCTAAACAAAATACGAGAAAAAAATCAAGTACGCCAATATAAAACAATTTGAATAATTGAACTACGCGTGATTGTGCCAACGAACGTTGTTCATATTCAGTTCTTTGGATTGTGCATACCGCATGGATATTTGAACAGAGGTGACGTCAGATATGCTACAGTGTAGAACTCTGGGAGGAAAAAGGGATCTAACCTCAAATTTCATTTTGATTCCTGAATTTTTTATATTAGTGTCATTTGAAAGTACACGTCGAGCTTTCTCAGTGTTTGCAATATTTGCAATTATTTCAATGTCACCCTGTATATATATATCACAGGAGCAAAGGTATATTACTTTCCTTGTGTCATGCTTCCCACGTGGGAGGAAATGGTGAATTACGCACCGGGATTATTCATTCTATTCTTTCACAACTTCGGATATAGCTCAGAAGCCATAAGAGCTTTAATGAATTTTTATTTTCAAATGTTTCGTTTACAAAAATTGACAGTTTCGTATCGTATAATGGAAAAAATAACGTTTATTTCTCAGACCAATCGAACATATTTTTTAGCAATTAGGAATTGTTTGTCTGTAGTAAATAAAACTCCTTTTTAGGAACCACTCTTCATGCTGAGCTGATTTGGCTCATCGCCAATAACCTTGATTTTGAAAAAGCTTCCATTGAATTGTTGGATTTCCGCTTCAGACATATAGAGTGAGTACGATTCATTATTAACCACAAGTGTCAACACGGTTTTTATGAAAATTATGTCCTGATCAGACAATCGAGTCGATTCTGTTCGGATCTTGTTATAACATTGCTAAGATAATAATATTGTTATGATCATAACATAAAAAAATATTGCTATGAAGTTCTGTATTCTGTTTGCAGAGTAAATGCAAGACTGGTTGTAAGTTCAAGTGATAGCAATATTGTTGAAAAATTGAGAATTTTTGAGGTATCGATTTACGATTTTGCTATTATTTCATGAAGTAGAAGAGTTCATGATTATCTAACCTCTCAAATTAGTCAGTCCTGCACTGACATCTTACAAAATTATATTGTTCAAATCGAGAGATTTTGTATTTGCTGAATCTGGTCGTCGTTATGCGACTGGTGAAAGTAATCAATTATGTCCCCGAAATGAGAAAACAACTAAAAGCCGGATGAAAATAATCGTAATTTTTTTTTTAATATTCTAGCAAAATAGCTTGATAAACTATCCATCAGGCAACTGAAATGGTTTTTCTGGTTCCTCTGATATGCCGAAATTGTAGTTTCGTGTTTCCTCTACAAATTGGAACTTCAAGAAAAGGTTTTCAAGTAGTTGGTCACAGTAGTGAACCCATCCTATATGTTTGTAATCACCATTCTAAGTTTTTCAATAATTGTTCTATGAATTGAAACTTTGAGGAAAGGTTTTCGTAAGGGTTTTCGAGTAGTCAGTGACACAACTGAACTCTCATATGTTTTTAATCAACTATTTTCTGAATTTCCATAGAGTTGGAAGAATTTTTACTGCAAAAACAGAGAATCCATGCACTACCTTGTTATAAGATAGCAAGCACAAAATTGATGTTGCCGAAATAGCAAGAAACCTGACCAGATGTCATTGAAATTGACAGATCATATTGCCAAAAATCGATGATTAGAATTCCACTTTTTGAAATCTTGCTATGATAGCAATATCTTCTCCACAACCATATTGCTATTTGCAAACAAAATCGACCGAATGGCTGTCACTGAGGGATAAACACCAGGTTGGTCCAAATTAGTCTGCCAAACTCAATCGGCGGCTTTTACGATAAAAAATGGTGAGACAATTTTCAATGAACATGAGTCGATAAAAAATGTCTCCAGAAATATCTGAGGCGATCCATCTTACAGTGGAGTGAAGGCAATATGACAGGACAAAATTCTTACAGTCGACTCCACCAAAGCTATACTTTATTGTAAGCAATCTTACAGGGACATGTTTCGAAGCTTTAAAGCTTCATCATCAGCATTATTGTTACATAGGAGTACTGTTCTGGAGGAAAAAAGTTATGTTTACATATAATTTATATTAGTGAAAATGTTTTAAAAAATTATGAAAATATAAAATTTGAGGACCGCAATTATAGCGGAACCCCTTTGTTAGGGAACTTTAAATAACATGGTAATAAGTATTTGGAGAAAATCGAGAGTTTGGCATGAACAGATAATAATTTTGTCGATTTTCTCCAAATACTTATTACCATGTTATTTAAAGTTCCCTAACAAAGGGGTTCCGCAATAATTGCGGTCCCCATTTAACCTTTTCATAATTTTTTAAACACATTTTCATTAATATGAATTATATGTAAACATAACTTTTTTCCTCCAGAACAGTACTCCTATGTAACAATAATGCTGATGATGAACCTTTAAAGCTTCGAAACATGTCCCTGTAAGATTGCTTACAATAAAGTATAGCTTTGGTGGAGTCGACTGTAAGAATGTTGTCCTGTCCTGTCTCCAGAAATAGCTACGGCCTCCTGAAAGGGGGTCCTGAAGATGATGTAGGGTAGAGGTGGTACATTCATTTTACAAATTTTTTTGGGATTTTCTCCCCTCGTTTCTATGAAATGGGAATATGCGTATTATTTCAATATATTTTTTCAAATAGAGTGTCACTGATAAGATACTGGATTTTTCTTTTAAGTTCCCTGATAGAAAAATTTGTTAAACGCAGTGACATTTTGAAGCAAATCATCTGATTCATCCCACTACGAATTAATATATTGAAATAACACGCATATTTTTATTTTATAGAAACGAGGATGTGGCAAAATGCAATACGGTACATGACTTGTACTTCCCATGCCCAATACAGTGAAATTGATATCACTTCAAAATTTCATTCAGGAGTGTGTTATACAGGGTGAGACAATTTTATCTCAGATTATGAAAATCCACACTTCTTTACATACAAAAAAGGTACTCTTGTTCCGTATCGATCAGATGTATCAATTTTCGACTGAAATCGATTTGAAAATATTGTTACATCTCACTAGACATGCATTCAACGTTGCCAATTTTCTGATCATAGTAGTTGTATAAAAAATCTACTACTTTTTTCCACAAGGGGTAAGAAATTGGGAAATGATGATGAAAAACTACTTCAGTTTTTGTGCTACTACGATTTATTGCAAAGGTATGCATATTATATTGACAATGCTTCATAATACCATGTCTATGTTTGCAAGAACCTTCACATATAACTCGTTATACTTTTATAATTCATTTCCAAAAGAATCCAAATAATCACTCTCGCCGTAATTTCGTGAAAAAATCAAAAGCAATTCGTTAAATCATGTATACCTTAGATGTGAGACAATAAGTGGAAATGTAGATGTCAAGCTAGATTCAGGTTTTCAGGTATACGATTAGTATTATAGAATTAGATTATGAGTCGAGCACAGGTTAAGTGTAAGAATAGCTTCCTAGCTAAACTTCGCCTGGTGCACATATACCATCTATATGCCCAATATTACCACTCATGTAATTTTCTTTTGGAAATAAAGACGAATTTTTATTATTATTATTATAATTATTATTATATGTGAGATGTAACAAGGAATATCATCTTCAAGAGCCACCTGTCAGGATGTCGTTGCTCCCTTGTAGAAGATATTCGACTCTTGTGTATTAAAACTTTTCTTCCTATTTTTGATCGAAAAGGTACTGATGGTTGAGTTTGGCAGGTTCATTTCAGGACACCCTGCGTAGTTCAGAATATCAAATAGATTTTCTCAACAGCTTAACTGAATTCATCGATTTGTTTCACTCTGTTGTTTAGATATATCAAATAATTAATATCGATTCATTTCTTAGGATTTTATTCATTTCAGTGGTCAACTCAACAATGTCCTCTTAGGATCTGAGCAGAAGATGGGGAGGGCAGATCTAACTTCTGATCTCAAAGATATCGCAGAAAAATATAAACAACAAATCGGGGAAGTGGAGGGAAGGAGATTCATCAAATGCCATCTGCCTATAAGTTTGAACTCACCTCATATATTCGATGTTGGAAGTAAGGTACTAATTGCATTGAAAATTGCGAATTTCATATACAGGGTAACCCAAAATCACATACAAAGATCCCAACCATAGATTCTATAGGAACGAACATATATAAGAAAAAAATATATCAACATGGCCGACTGATGAAAGGTTATTGCCATCTGAAGGAGAGCCCGACATGACGATTCTTTTTTTCAATTTTTCCGAAACCCTCTGTGATAAAATGAGCAAATTCTGTACATGTTCCTAACTTTCGATGCCCAATTTGAAAATGTTAAGAATTGTTTTTTCGCAGATGCGTGATGAGGTTTTCTCAATTCCGAATTTCTTTCCACGTCCTGTATGGTGAATATCAATTCATCAAACTTCCAAAAACAGATTCCCAGATGACAGGAGTATGTCAAAAAATAATAATTCTCAGATGTCAGTTCGTTATAGTTTTAGTTATATTATAGAGAGATAGAAATTGTGTATATCATGAAGAATGACTGAAAGAATAACTGGACTTCAGGTTACTGATGAGGATTTGATATCCCAAATGAATTTATTCAAGTGAAGTCATATAACCTGTTTGTGAGAGATATAATTCCCATATCACTGAATCGAATGATTTTTTTGTAAGTTCCAAGCTCATCAAGATCAGAGTTTATACAAGCATAGATACAATTATACTCCTCATATATATACATTTCAATTTTCATTTCAATACTGAACATACTTATTGGTAAGTTATATCTCATATCATAATACATCATATTATTTTATCCGATTCTCGAAATTATGTCAATTCTCAATTTCAAAGGATTTTCATTTTTGATGCTTTCTTTTTGGATGTTCAACAGATATAATTCAATGTTCGACGTAGAAAATAGCCAAGAAAGTGGTTGGTTTCTGTTGAATATTCAGAATGATATTATGTTGTGCATATCTTCATAATATGAAGGAAAATGCAAATTCTCTACTTCAGAAGATTTTGTTTTTAAATTCTTATCGTGTATGTTCAATAGATGTAATTCAATGTTGGGCGTGGCATACAGCCAGGGGAGTAGTTGCTTTCTGTTGAATAAACCGAAAAAGAATTTATATTTTCATCACATAGAGAATGCGAATTCTCAATGTATTTCTTTATATATTTCCTTCTCAATGTTGAGAATTTGTCGAAATTCTGATCAGGGACATAAGAAATAGGAGCTAGGAATATTCCTTCCTCAAACTTCTTTGTTATTGCTATTCCCAGCAGTTTGACCAGGAAATACGAAAACCGATATATATCTATGGACAAGATCCACAATTGAGTTTGTATAGGTACCTCTGATTTTTCGAATTTAGAAGTTTTGTTCATGGAAACTTTCCACAGGTAATTTTAATTCTTCAGGTTGGGAAAGTAGGATATATGAAAGTTAGGCAAGCCAAAGTTAGTTTATTTCATTATACCATTATTTCACCTGATGAAACTACTGTGTTAGTGAAGCATGTCGTATGATTATGAATTTTGTGGAAATCTCATTTCTTGTGAAGTTTTTCTTGATACCTATTATGTTTTAGGTTATTTACGTCGCAAGGAATCCAAAAGATGTTATAGTATCGATGTACCATATCTGCTGCTTCTTTTTTCAAGACATGGAGAAGATTCCATTCGAGATGTTTTTCAAGGCATTCAAGTCGAATATGAGTATGTATATAAACAGGGTGTTCCATGATATGTGAGGTAAAGTTCAACTGGGTCATTGGACGCTTAACGAAAAATTTGAACGTCTCTGCTGATATCAAAAAAGTCCTTGTTTTTCGATATACCTGGAAGAATGATCAGAATGATTCTTTCATGAATCTACCAAGTTATTGGATCCCCATTCTAGAATTGTTGCCAAGTCCATATTCATGTGGTCAACATTCCTCCCTCGTTCGTGTTTGATTTGAGAGAGAGAGAGAGAATAATCTTTATTGTCTAGAATGTATTACATTTCGTCGACTAAGGTATAACATATATATAAAAAACGAACTATTGTAAAAGAAACAAGACTACAAAATATTTACATAAAGGGTATAATACGGTACGGTACAAACGTGTTTTCACAACTACAGTTTATTAAAATCTTGATGTAGATAGTAACATTTATATAAAAAACTAGAAATCATATGCAAAATACTCTTCCAAACTATAAAAGCACTTTCCCATCACAAGGTTTTTTACCGATTTCCGAAATTGCTTCTGATCATTGATTGCTGTTATTTGTTTCGGTAAATGATACTTGTATAGATTTGAGTATGCTTGGTCAAATTTGATGTGGGGAGTGGAAGGAAAAGTATCATCTCCTTTCGTGTATGCCTTTCTGTTCGATTCAAGAACTTTTCTTTATGTTTGTGAAGCAAGCTAACAGTCTCTATAATAAAAATTTCGAATATTGTTAGTATTTTATATTTGCAGAAAATTGGCCTACACGAGTCGCTAATCCTCTTTTTGAATATTATTCTTATAGCCCTTTTTTGAATGACGAATATACTTTGCAATAAAACCTGGCAGGCAGAGCCCCAAAATGGAATTCCATACCTGAGATGACTCTCCATGAGTTCACGAGATATGATATTCACGGCAAAGCAACCAGAAGACAATTTCTTTTTCAGTGCATTAATTTGTGTGTCAAACTTTAAATTACTATCAATAAATATACCGAGGAATTTCGTTACAAGCTTACTTTCAACCGTCTGACAACCTAAAGTTACCTGATCCAAATCCCACTTAAATGTGACCAGATTTGTTTTAGAAAGATTCAGCGACAACATATTCGATTCACACCAATTTTTTATTTTTTCTAAATCAGAGTGTATAGTTCGAGTCAAAGTGGCCGGATGTCCATTACGCCAAAATACCGTGGTGTCATCCGCAAATAAGGTGAATGTTCCAGATATATCCAATTTAGCCAGATCGTTAACATACAGCAAGAATAAAATTGGGCCCAAGACTGACCCTTGAGGAACTCCGTTTACTATTTTTCCACTTTCGGAAGTATTATTGTTCAAAGATATTTTTTGGCTTCTACCAGTGAGATAAGATCTGCCTGGCTGGTATTGAAGCCCTGGAAGAGGAGGCGGTATGGAGGGTACTATCATCCGCGAAGCTGCGTGTACTGGACATGAAGTTGTTGGTGCTATAATTGATCCTCACGGAACACCAGCATTCATGATGAGAGAGCTAATCAGATGAAACTCCGTCGACCACTACATGGAGAAACCTGATTGAGAAAAAAATAGCTAGCAGAGAACATAGCTAGGAAGACAAGCCATAAGATGGAAGATTGGCAAGGAGTTCGTGGTGCCAGACCCGATCGAATGCCTTGAAGATATCAAGTGCCACGACTGAGGTTTCACCATATTTATCAATAAATTGCTGCCATATATGTGAGACGTAAGCGAGTAAGTCACCAGTTGATCTCTGATGACGGAATCCATATTGCCTATCGTTGATAATACCTGAATGTTCCAGGTCTTTCATGAGCTCGATGTTGAAAGCTTTCTCCATGATCTTCGAAATGATATATGGCAGTGCGATCGGTCTGTAGTTGCTAGGTAGGGTCTTTTTGCCTTTTTTGGGAACTGGTTGTACTCTTGCAATTTTCCAGTTGGACAGGAATATTCCCAATTTGTAAGGGTAGTTGAACAACTTGCAGAGAACAGGTGTTAGTTTGGAAGCACATTTCTTGAGAACAATCGGTGGGTTTCCGTCGGAGCCACAAGCTTCGTTAGTGTTGAAACCCAAGTATATCATAGTACGTTGGCGGATATGACTGTCAATTGGCTTTTTGTTTAGAGATTGTTTTCCCGATAGATCCAGAATGGAATTTGTAGAAAATGAATGCGCAGAAATGTTGGCTTTCTCCTGGGCAGTTGTGGCTAGTGTTCCATCTTCCTTGGTTAGAGGAGGAAACGAGCTGGAAGTATAGTTTCTTCCTACAGCTTTGGCGAAGGACCAAAATGAACGGGATTCGCAAGGACATTTAACAAGTTTTGGTCTTATTTTGGCATTAGGAGCATCCTTTGATGATCGAATTGTCTCATTGCATATGCCTCTAGCCTCGATATATTCTGCTCTAGTCTCAGGACCTGGATTTTTTTTGCCATCGATGGAATGCTGCCTGTTTGGAAGCGACAGCTCTAGAGCAGTTTCTACTGGACCATGCCTCATCGGAGGTTCTCCTTGCAGTGTTCGGTATGTAGGTGGTTACTTGAATATGAGTCAATAATGCAATAATAACAGAATAATACCATATGGTTACACAGGGTGTAGGGCTACCCCTCTAACTTCTGCATTTGTGAATGGATAATATGTCTGATGATTCTCACATGTACTCGTTGAACAGGTCAAAACGATTGCAATCTTCGTGTCAAATGTTATATTCTTGACTGTTATGACAGATATATTTGTTGTATGAGACAATAATGGATTCGCTAATATTCTTGTTTAACTAGCAATATATTTTGTCAAATATTATTCTCAGATAATTCCAAATATCTCGAAAACAACTGGAAATATCTGAAAATGTTATGGAACCAAAATTATTCCTTTTGATAGAATCAACAAAAAATCCATATAACATTTTTCTCTGAATTCAATAGTTCGGGAGATACGATGAAAAAACTAAAAAATTTACAAGTTCCTAGATAATCACTTGCCAATAGAAAACAGAACAAAACCCATAAACTACATACCTAGCTCACTCGACTGTCTTTATATTTCGCCAATAAACTAGGTACCTAGCTCACTCGACTGTCTTAATGTTTTGCCCATAAGCTACGCACCTAGCTCACTCGACTGTCTTGATTTTTCGCCAATAAACTACGTACATAGCTCACTCGACTGTCTTGATTTCCCACAAAGAAGAAATATGTTGGCATTGTTTTAACTTTCTTTTGTTTTTGTTTTTTAGTTCCTATTGGCAGTCAAGTGGGCTGGGTACGTATTTTGTGTGGAAAATCTCCAGTTCTCTGAACTTTCATAGTGTCGTATACACATCTTTGGTGCCCAATGATAGTTTCAATATAAAAATATGCCCGCGGCCTCTACTTCCATCTCACATGAGCGTCGTATGAATTATTTGACCTCTATACTAATCTAATACCTAATGAAAACTACATCACTACTGATCTGATACCTTTCAAAAACTACGTACCTCTCTTGTTTAACTAGCAACATATTTTGTGATCAGTAGTAAATATGTTAAGCAAGTATTTTTTATATAATTCAAATGCAGTTGCTTTATGCCACACTATATATTTGTTACTTCCACCCAAATATTTTTGCGCTAGTATCAAAAATCCAAGCCATCAGTAAAAAAATTTTTAAGGTATTATCACAAATGCAGCTATAAGAAAAACATAATATGTGACACTGTCACTCTATTGTTGAGGCTCAAGTCCTTCTCGATCTATTCTCCAGGACATTTTGTTGACAGGGGAAATTTGGCATTCAACTTGAGAATTGGTTATTGGTAACACGTGCGTAGTGTATTATCGTTCCAAAGGTTCCAGTCTTCGATATAACTATACAGGGTGTCTCGAAATTAGCCTGCCAAACTCCACCAGCGGCTTTTACGACCAAAAATAGGAAGAGAAGTTTCAATGAACATGAGTCGAGAAATGACACCTAAGGGAGTTACGACCCCTAGAGAGGGGGGTCCTGAAGATGATATTTCTTGAGTATTTCCGAAACGCCACGTGATGAAATAATCCAATTTGGTACGAGAACTAAATTTTCCATGCCCAATGCGGTGAACATAAAATCATTTCAGAGTTTCATTCAGGAGTGTATAATACAGAGTGGGACTACATCAAATATTGCTCAAACTTTTTCGTATGCATATTTTTTGACACATCAATCTCGGATTATGAAAATCTAGACCTTTTCACAAAAAAAAGTGCTCGTGTTCCGCATTGATAGGATGTATCATGTTCGAGTGAAATCGATTTGAAAATATTGATGCATTCACATCTTATGATGCATAACGTTGCAATTTCCAAATCATAGTGGCTATTAAAAAATCAAGTATACTTATTTTTACCAAACAACTTAAAAAAAACGCAGAAAGTAGGAAAATGATAATGAAAAAAATACTTCAATTTTTGTGTATTTTTCCCATTTCCTCATTGCAATGTTATGCATAATATCTGAAATGTAACAATATTTTTAAATTGCTTTTACTCGATAATAATATATCTGTTCGTCACGGAACAAGAGAACCTTTTTTTCTGTAAAGAGGTGTGAAATTTTATAATCCGAGATTAAATTGTCGAAAAATATGCATACAAAAAATTTTCAGCAATAATTAATGTAGTCCCACCCTGTATTATACACTCCTCATTGTAAATTTTTAATGATTTTATTTTTACTGCACTGGGCATGGAAATTTCAGTTCTTGTATCAAATTACATCTTTTCATCACATGGAGTTTCGGAAATACTCAAGAAATATCATCTTCAGTAGCCCCCTTTCCAGGGGCCTTAGCTCCCTAAGAAGACATTCCTCGACTCATGTTCATTGAAAGTTTTCTCTCTATTTTTGGTAATAAAAGCCGCTGGTGAAGTTTGGCTGGCTAATTTCGGGACATCCTGTATACTTCTTGTTATCTCACATATCATCGAGCACTCAGTGAACATATTTAGGTAACTGTGCTCACGTGTTTTGAGAAAAAATAAGCGTTTCAATGATTGTTCTTTTCAAGTTATTTGTCTTCCGTACTTCGAACACGTGAAAGAGGCTTGGAGAAGAAGAAATGAAAAGAACTTTCTGTTCCTGTTTTATGAAGACACTATGAAGGTATACCTACAATATTCCAGTTCATATTTCCATTTATATCATTTCCATATAACAACATGTAACGGATGGCTCATCGAATACGAATCAAAAGATGCATTACAGATTGTGAAAGAATAACTTTATCGACAGTTATAACACAAAATCGCTCTTGCTTTATTGTTTTCAAATAATCACTGATGTACATTGTATGTATAATATTCCATTTCCTCATCTGACAAGAATTACTCCATTGTCCATTCTTTACTCTCCTAGTTTTCAAAGATGAATATACAGGCTGAGTCATGAGGAACTTTAGAAATAGTCCAGTACACCTAGGTCCTATTGGAGTCTGAAAGAAATCGGTATCACAACTCCCGAGACAACTGCAGTGGCGCGACACTGGATGAATTGACTTTTGTAACATTATCATTATCAAATTCTTGTGTTTCAGACAAAAATACGTGAGTACCAAGAAAAATTTTCGAAAAAAAAACCATCGCAGAATAAATGCAGTTTTACCAATTTCTGAAACATCACTTTTGGATGTTGAATATTTTTGTACGATTCGGATGAGACATCAGAATCTGATTCGGAAGAGGATTTGGTCGTGAGAAAGAGAAAAATGATGGGTCACCAGCATATTAGATGCATCCTTGACCAAGAAACAAAGAATATTTGTTAAAAATGTTCTTCAGATATGAGATATCAGACCTTGATTATATTATTTCGAACCAAATTGGAATGGCATTTTTTTAACCATTACTCAATTTCTAATTTTATACAGATTTTTTTTATTAGTATATTATTTCAATACATGTGTAATAGGAACAATTCGGATGATTTGATCCAAATTGCACTGCATTTGAAAAATTTGACTATTAGAGGGCCTAAAAGGAAAATTCAATGGATAGTCAGTGACAACCGAGGTGACAACTTGTTTCGAAAATGTTTGCGGAAAAGAAACATAGATGACTATATCGACAAAAATTCAAATTTTCACTCAGCTTTCGATATTTTGGTAACGATTCTGCTCCCGTTTTCAACATAAAAATTATATATAGGCCCTTGAGGAAAATATCTAATGACCATCAGAAAGTGTCTTCTTCTCTTCTTTACCTATATATAGGGTGAATTATGAGATTTGGCAAGAACATCTTTTGGGCATAACTTTTTAACAGGTCCTTCGATTCGTCTGATTATTTTTATGGAATATTTTTCTACTGAACCCTATCTAGTCCACTGACATTTCCAGATACGGAAAAATCCAGGATCGTTTTTGAAAAATTTCGATAGTTTTCATCAAGAAGTTCATCCTGTATATATGGTTTATGTAAATTGTGACAGGGAATTTTCAAAGCACACAAACAAAAACCGATAATTAACTATTCAAAATTCTCCACACACTTTCACTGAATTTTCCAAAAGAAGATAAATTTTGAGCAAAATCGAAAGTTTGACAAGAAATTCATTCATTCGAAAATAGTTATTACGTCGCAACGCATAAATTCCACAAATAAAAGTGAGATCCACATTTTCAATGCTTTAGCCCGATGAAAATCAATATGTTCTTCCATTTCCAGGCCTGGATTTCGGCATTTCATTTTTTGTGGAGGGTAATAATCACCCTGTAGATCGTTTTCGAATCAGTAGATGAGGTATCTGTTTAGATGTTGATGGTCATCGATTCAAATAATCCAAGATAGTCGAACATAAAATGAAGGTCTATTCACAATTAATTTTCAAAAGCTATACTGACAAAGGCGGATAATAATTCTAGTACGGAAAATAAGTAACAAAGCGAATAGGAAATCATAAGATTATCTTTAGCGATGGCCATCAACATTTTCTCAGATACCCCATCCACTAAAAAAAGATCTACAGGGTTATTTCATTATCTTTCACAAAAACATTGAATTTCTTGATCCAGGCCTGAAGATGAAATAATATGTTGATTTCCATCGAGCTGATGGAGCATTGAAAATGTAAGTCTAACTTTCATTCGTAAAATGTATGGGTTGCGAAGTATTCATTTCCAAGTAAATGCATTTTCTGCCAAATTTTAGTTTTTTCATATAACTCATAGTTTTTTTCCAACTGAAGTGAAAGTGTGTGGAAAATTTGGAATATATTTTTTCTGATGTTTGTTTGTGACCTTTGGAAATTCACTGTCACAGTTTACAAAAATGATATACAGGATGAACTTTTTGCAATTAACTGAACATCAAAATTTTACAAGAACGGTCCTGGATTTTTCCGATTCTAATTGAGTCTGTCGATAATAGAGTAGTATTTGAAAAGAATGACCCTACCCAGTTAGTGAACTATAGACCTGTAACAGTTCCTGACCGTTTTTCAAAGATATTTGAGTATTTTTTTCTTGATAGGCTCACGTTCTTTTTGGAGCGTTTTGGTATTTTGACAAGTCAACAACATGGCTTTCGACAGATGAAACTAGTCATATTGTCCAGTTTTATGTTTATGAATTTCAGAATTCTTTATCAAAATAATATTCGTTACTATTTATTTCAAAATTATTCAATTCAACATCACTGTGTTAAATCTAGTGTTGCCGTCTAGACTTATACATTCTAGACTCTTGTCTTGTCTTGTCTAGAATATCAAGACGAGATCATCAATATGTCTTGTCTAGATTATCTAGATAAGACAAGACTTTTATTCAAAACTCTTGATTATTTTCAAATCTATATTACAAATACGTCGTTTCGCTGGCGCGAGTTACATGAACGATTCTCACGGTTTGCCATGAAATAGGAAACGCTTCACCAGCACTTTGATATTTCTCGTGAGAAGTGCTGATTTAAACTTTGTTATTCCCGATTTGTAAGAACACAGTTCAGTCAGTCTTGACTTAGATATTGTACGATTCACTTGCCAATAAAATAAAAGTTTTTAAAAACCAAATTCGTGGTCCGAATCTTTTAAGTGGCGCAGTCGTTGTAGGATATTTCGTGGGAATCGGTTTCGAAATCCTTTGAGTTTCAACTCTTAAACGAAATACGAACAATAAATACACCGAGTGTTCAACTGTGGGACTCCAGCGAGGACAGCCGTTTGCAGAAGGACACGAGGATCTAGTATGAGATCGGGCCTAGCGACAGTGGTGATCGTGTGAGTAGAATATTTTTCAGTACATGTCAGACTCCTCTTTACCTATTGAATCCTTGAGCGAAATCAATCAGGCTTCAGAGTTAGATATAGTTGATCTTGTAGTCAATCTCTTAGATAATCTCACTATTGAAAACAGTAACATGGCTCCACCGGCAGTTCTAGATATGAAAAACCTCAGTGTAATTCCACATTTCGATGGTAATCCGAATGAACTTCATAGATTTATAAGTGCATCTGAGTCAATTTTAATGCATTATGCCGACCGCGAAAATCCAACTAATTTTCAGAATACGCTTCTATTCAATGGAATATTAAATAAATTAGAAGGTAGAGCTGAAGAAGTTTGTGCAATTCACGGTGTTCAAAACTGGGAAGATATCAAAAACGCGTTGATCCAAAATTTTGGGGACCAAAGAGACGAGAACTGTTTGAATCAGGATTTAGTCAATTTGCGACAAAAACCAAATGAAACGCCTTTTCAATTTCATGAAAAAATCATGCATCTTTTGAATACAATATGTAATTATGTTAACTTAAACTGTCCACCAGCTCAACGAGATAGTAAGAGAGATTTCTTTAAGAAACAAGCACTTAAAACGTTTTTAGCTGGTTTGAAAGACCCATTAGGTCCTACAATTCGTGCAATGAGGCCAAATAATCTTGCCCAAGCTCTTCAATTTATCACAGAAGAAGACAATATCAAATATTATCAAAGATCAAACCCATCCACATCGAGTAATAATTTTTCTAGGAGACCTCCTACTACCAATAATACCTATCAAAATCCACAAAATTATTTTACTCCTCCTCAACCTCGCTATTATCAAAATCAATTTCAACCAAGCCGACCAAATTTCCTCCCTCAACAAAATAATTATTCCCAATTTCCCCGTGGACCTGTTAATGTTCAAAGACACCCGAATCCACCAGTTCAAAAGTTTCACACAAACTCACAAGTTTTCGGCAAACCCAGAAATGTTTGGAAGCCGACAAACCAAAGCCCACAAAATCGCCCTACTCCTATGAGCACATCCACTCGTAATACTAACCCTCAACTTAGGAGACATATTCCAAATTAATTCTCTTCAAATAATCAGGGACCAAGCGTAATTTCCGAAGAACTATTTAATACCGAATTATTTGATCAACAATACTACGAAAATTTTGACTCCGGAAATAATCATTATGACGAACAACCAAATTTTGACGAACATCCAAACTTTGATGAACAACCAAATTTTGACGAGCAACCAAATTATGACTATTCTAATTCGAATGAACGGGAAAATTTTCCATTGGCACCGAACGTCAGCGAGGAAACATAATCGAATATCATTTGTCGACAGAAAAAAAAGAACTTCCTTGTATCCAAATTTCTGAACCTTATCTAAAACTCTTGATCGTCACAGGGTCAACAAAATCATTCATCAACCCTGAGATTGCTCAAAAATTTTATTCAGACAACATTTTTCATGAACCTTTCACTGTTTCTACTATTTTTCAATCATCAACACATGAACACTGTGCAGAGATACCTATATTTCCTGAATTTCGACAAAACGAGAGTCTCAAATTCTATCTTTTCAAGTTTCATAATGTATATGACGGACTAATTGGACTTGACAATTTAAAACTGTTGAATGCTCAACTAGATTTTATAAATTCTAAACTACTTACGCCTACTTGTGAAATTCCAATAAGATACCAACCTTCCTATCCAAAAACTGCATTTAAACGTAAAATCGAACCTCACACGAGGCTGATTACCAAAATTCCAGTCGATAAATACCAGGGTGAGGTACTCATTCCTCGACAAATAACTCAAAATTGTGAAATTCCGGAAACAATCTCAAGAGCCGAAAACGGTCTCGCATCTGTTGAAATTATAAATA